TACGGTGGAAAGTGATCGTGAGGAAGTATGGCGTGGAGCAGTCACTAGCAAGTACAATGCGGAGTGGTCACCAGGAAGTATGGCGTGGGGCAGTCACCAGGAAGTATGGCGTGGAGCGGTCACCAGGAAGTATGACGTGGAGCGGTCACCAGGAAGTACGACGTGGGGTGGTCACCAGGAAGTACGGCGTGGAGTGGTCATCAGGAAGTACGGCGGGAAGTGATCGTGAGGAAGTACGGCGTGGGGCGGTCACCAGGAAGTACGGCATGGAGTGATCACCAGGAAGTACGGCGTGGGGCGGTCACCAGGAAGTACGGTGTGGAGCGGTCACCAGGAAGTACGGCGTGGGGCGGTCACCAGGAAGTACGGTGTGGAGCGGTCACCAGGGAAGTATGGCGTGGAGTGATCACCAGGAAGTACGGCGTGGGGCGGTCACCAGGAAGTACGGTGTGGGGCGGTCACCAGGAAGTACGGCGTGGGGCGGTCACCAGGAAGTGCGGTGTGGAGCGGTCACCAGGAAGTGCGGTGTGGAGCAGTCACCAGGAAGTATGGCGTGGAGCGGTCACCAGGAAGTACGGTGTGGAGCGGTCATCAGGAAGTACGGCGTGGGGTGATCACCAGGAAGTACAGCGTGGAGTGAAGCAAGTGCCGACTACACAGCCCGTGACCTTTTGGCAGCGGGGCTGTGGAAGGCAGAAGGGACAGCATGAACGGAGACTCGGAACCTGACCCAGGAGGTCGGCTGGGGAGAGGCTGAGGCGTGGCTGATGGGAAGTCAGAGCTGGAGAGGACAGAGTGTCGTGCTGTAGGCTTAAGTCTGGGTGCCACTAGGGAGCCACAGAAGGTTTTAGAGCATCAGTGAACTGCTCACATGGGACATAGCCTGAAGACCTCTCGTCCTGACTCTCCTGGTCCTCCACGTCTGGTCTGCCCTTGCTCGTTTAACCTCATCTCCAACTTTCAATGAAGTAGCAATGCCAGCCTAGTGGCCTCCCAGAACCCACTCAAGGTGACATGCCATCCCCTTTACTCCCCCTCTATTGCTGTTCTACTTGGCTCCTTCTTCCTCTCCCTGCATCCCCTCCATCCATGTTTAAGGCTGAGCCGCACTCTCCCACCCCGTCCACTCTGCCGTCTCTAGCCCAAGCCCTGACTGCAGCCCCAAGGTAGAGCCGGTGTTTCCCAGTAGCCCTACACGTACCTGCGCACACGCACATGGAGAGACCCAGGCCCGGATCAGGCTGTGTCACTCACCGGCTATCGTCTCCATTCTGTGTACCGTCCTGGTCTCAACCCGCCACCTTGAGCAGATGTCCCACGGGTGGGTCAGGTGCAGTCACGGAGTGCACGCTGCTCAGAACTTCGGGCCGGGGTTGAGTTTCATAAGCTCCCTGGGAAAGTACTCCTTAGCTCGTCTCTCAGTGCCTTGCCCTCAACAGAACTCAGAATACTGCCTCTGTTCCGTGTCCTCTGCTCCCAACTTTGGGGGCTTGTGGTTCTGTAGTGCCCCTTCTCGATTTTCCACTTCCTGACCCCTAACTCTTTCTCCCTTTCAATGTGAAGTTCAGTAAAGTAGTTCTAAGAGATTTGGGGGATTGCAGTGTGTCCCTTTGGGAGGATTGCAGGTGGCTTTTGTTTTTTTTTATGGGCGTCATGGTATTAGACACCAAAGACCTCTTACCTTACCCCTGCCACATGGACCTTCCTCATGAGACATCGAGCCGTGGATGAAGAAAGCTGCGTCTCTGTCGCGTGAGGCCTTTGTTCAGGTTATTTTGTTCCAGGTGATGTGGTTTTGGTTTCCTGTAACGATGTTTCTTGCTGAAACAGACAGGAACAAGCAGCAGTGCTGGCGTGGCACTGGACTGTGAGCTGGGGGAGAAGCCTCCGGCAGGGCCTGCTGCAGGCTGTGGGAACCATGCACTGGTGGATGGCAGCTGAGCTGAGCCCTGTCCCCTGCCTGCTCCACATTCTCTTTAAATGCAATGCTGCAGAGTGCCCGCTAGACGTTTTTGTCTCTCAGAAATCAGCCATTGTGGGGACCAGCAGTTAGCATAATGGCTATGTCACTGGACTCCCATGTAGTCGACTGTGGTTGAGTCTCGGACACGGTGGCTTAAACTCACGCCAGGCATGTGTGTGTGTGTGTGTGTGTGCCCAAGCTCCCAACAGGAGAATGGAAGAGAAGGGGTTGCAGCGTGTCCATCCTCCCGGGGGATGGGGGATAATTTCTTGCTTTCTGTCTCTCGGTCTCTCTCTGTCTTTCTGGTGAGCGCACATGCCCTATAGCAAAAACCTCTCAAAAAAAGAGAAAAAAGAAATAAGCCATTGTGAGGATGCACTAGAAGGGGCATTTCTTTTTCTTTTTTTTAAGAATGATTTATTTTATTTAATTTGTTGTTATTCCTTTTTAATTTGATCAGAGAGAGAAAGGGAGAGCGAGAAAGCAAACCACCAGGTCTGAGACTTGAACTGTGATTGGCCATGTGGGAGTTCAGCACCTTTAACCACCATGCCATTTGCCCGGAGTTCAGCACCTTAACCACCATGCCATTTGCCCACCCTGGGGGCATTTCTTTTTCTCTAGAGTGAACTCATTTCCTCAGGAGGCTGGCCTCGGATGAGGATGTTCTTCCCTAATACTGGCTCTTCCTTCTCTTATAGCAGTGAACAGAAACGTGCTTTACCCCGGGTCCACTTCAGGGAAAGGGCCCAGCCGAAGACCGGCGTTTTCCATGGCCAGCCATTTTATGGCCCTCCTGTGTTCACACACGTACACACACAGTATCCTTGGAGGCCTAGCTGAGGGGCCCGGGAGCCTCGTAACCAGGAAACCACGGGCAATGCCTAGTCTAGATGATTTTTGCTGAATTTAGTGGAGTAAACACAAGAGACCAAATTTGGCCCTTTCGCTGGGATGCCCAGTGCTATCTGTCTTAAACAAACATCGGGTCCTTTAGAAAAGCTTTTGCCAAAGACTTTTGTACCTGGGAAAGGAGAAAATTGGGCTGAATTGTCATGCAGGGATCAAATACAGTTTCATTGCTCTACGCGTATTTCCACATCCGATTGCCGACTCAGCGAACTAAAGGCGCTCTGCTCACCGCGTCAGGTCTTTTATTTTGGCTTAGTTTTTCCAAGCTCTTGAAAGTGATTTGTAGAAAATCCTCGGCGGAGACTACGTGGAGTGTGACCAGTTTCCGTCCAGCCAGTTCATCCCATCAACCTATTGGACATTTCCTGTAAAGGAGGGACTAGGGATGGAGACTTACCATGGCTTTCAGAAAGTATGTTGTGCTTAAGTAGCATGCAGTCTAAGAAACTCAGGCAGCACCTGTGAAAACCTCAGGGGTTGCTGGTAGAGCACCCCCACGAGGGTTCCCTCAGCAGCTGGAAGCCCTCCACCCCTGCCTCCTACTTCCTGCTCCAGTGCCTGCGGCCGCCGAGGGATTGCTTGGTGTCCTGAGACTGACTTCCTGCCTCAGTCTTTGCTGTTGTCTGCCTTCCCCTGGCTACCAACAGCTGCCCATAGACAGGGTTACCGAGTTTATGGGGCAGCATGGGAAGCAGGACATGAGGTGGACCAAGGAAGCTGCGATGGCGTGCTGCTGGCTGAGAGCGTGAGCACTCCGTCAGGGAGTCTGATGTGTCTGGACTGCGGAGGACCTCTGGCTCCTCAGTCAGGACTGGCAGTGGTGTTCAGCAGTTGGGATTACTCAAGAACGCCCTCCAAACAAGTAAGACTTGTGTTTGTGGATTCTGAAACAGCCGCATGCACATGAATTTAACAGAGCCTGGCGTGGATTCATGCCGTGTCCTTTCACCCCTTAGACGACGTTCCGACAAAATGGGCTTGGCCAGTGGGGTGGCTCCCCATCAGCATCACTTAGGAAGAGCAGCCTGATGTATAAAGCACCTATTGCATGTGTGCATTCTGATTTAAAAATCTGAGCCCAAGTATCCCCTGTCAGACATCGGGGATCCCTAACAGAATGTGTAGCGCCAATAACGGCCCTTAGAGCTCTTTGACCTCACTCGTTGATTTCACAGTTGAGAAGCAGACCCGGGAGTAGACTTACTCAGCCCAGGTGGAACCCCGTGCGAGTGCCTTCACGTTCTCAGCCCTCTGTGCACTAGGCAGTGGGTTAACCCCCAGAGCAGGTTTCAGGGCTGCCACAGAGCCACCAGGCAGGTGGGCGCCATTCTAACCAGACACTGCCTGATTTAGCTGGCCCCATGTCTGTGTCTGAAGCTTATTCCTTTGGGAATTTACTCATACCTAGGGGTAAATACATTTTAGAGTAAAAACCAAAGCACGTGACAGCAGTTTAAGCTTGAATCTCCAGGAATGACAAAGGCAGATCGCCCCTGAGGAGCCGTGCCGGGGTCTTCCCCGTGCCTTGTCTGCAGTGCCTTGTCTCATTCATATCCCACTTCTTCGTCTCCACAGCCTCAACAATCTCCCATTGGAAACTTATTTTGCTTAGCAAATATCTATTTGGGGGAGGCCCTTTACACCTAAAATCTAAGGGCAGTTTCTGTAAACTAAATCCTTATGAGTTGATTAAATCCTGATGAAATCTACCACCAGATGAGATGCGCCTTGAGGACGAAGATGTCATGTGTCTGTATTTCAACACCTTGAACAGGGTCTGGTTCATAGTTTGTTGCTCAGTGGTAGCTTATTGGCAATTGGATGTGTGGATGCATGGGTGTTCGGGTGCTTAAGTGGCAGGGGGAAGAGGGATGAAAGGAAAAGGAGAGAGGGATAATAAGAGAGGAAAGAAAAACATTGCTGGCATGACTGGTGGGTGGATGGGCGGATGGATGCATGGGTAGGTGATGGTTTTGATGGTTGGTTGAGTGGATGGATGGGTGGATGCATGGATGGGTAAGTGGATGGTGGATGATGGATGGGTGGGTGGTTTGTGTAATTTATGCCTCAACTGTGGAAACTAGACCAGTCGTCCTGATTTTACCCTTTGGTTTCCTTCTTCCAGGTTGTGGGCATTTTTGCTGGATTTGGGCTCCTGCTCTTGGTGGCCTCACCCTTCCTTCTGCTGGCCACCCCCTTTGTGCTCTGCTGCAAATGCAAGTGCAGTAAAGGTGATGACGACCCACTCCCCACCTAGAGAAAGACATGCAGCTGGAACAAGACCCCTGCCTCTGGGAATTGTGGCTCTCCCCACCCCACCCCACCGTATCCCTCTCACTAAACATCTTTCTTGCCTTATGTGCCCCATTGAGCTTCAGAGTGTCAGGCTGGATGCCGCCATTTCAGGGACTGGTGTCAGAATGTTTGCCGAGGCCCCAGGTGTGGTCACCTAGGCATGGGGAAGGCAAGCAGGTGTGGGTAGGGCAGGTCCCCCCAGACTCCGTCTCCGCAGACTTGGCAGGTGCTGTGGGAAGCTCACCAGGCAGTCTCTCTCTGTGGTGATAGACTAGGAACGCCGGATGGTGGCCTGAGAGACCTACTGATGCGAACGTCGTCCATCTCCTCGGCTTCAAGATGGCGCCATGTTGTTGCGTAAAGAAGTCTTTCCAGGAAGACAACTCACTTCAGACAGAATCTGATTATTCCAATTTGAGAAAAGCACTCTGTTTATGACAACTGTTTTTACTACTAATGGCATTTAGTAAAATCCTTTTTAGAAGGCTTTTTTTTTTTCCAACCAAGTAGTGGAAATCAACAAGGTGCATATAAACCATCCTCTGCCTTTCTTGAAATGTGCATTTTAAGAAGTTATAGTTAAATGACTTTTCCTGGCTTGGCCACTTATCAGGAGATTTAGAACGCCTTATGCACTCTGTGTTTTTCTTGAAACTTGCTGTAATAACTTTGGAACGCTGTCAGCTGTGTACTGTTACAAACGTGGTTCCTGTCTCGTTGCATCTTTGGAAATACTGACATGTTTAAAGGAACATCTCCATTGGATCGGCCTTTCCTCATTGTCTGCCTTTGGTGATGCAGCGCAGAGCAGCCCAGGGGCGCATAGCTTCTCACCAGGTATCAGCAATGACTGTGGAATATCGTCAAAGCAGCTGTTTTACTCAGAAATGGTTCTACTTGGAATCAATAGAGTTTGACCTCTTGCTTCAGTCTTCCAGGAGATAAGAAGAAAGTTATCTGCTCCTAGAAGCAGGGCCTCCCAGCAGAGGTTGGAGAACTCCCAGGGGCTGGGGAGGGATTTCTGGATTTCCACATTGTTTAAATGCTTCAGTTACTTTGAAAATCACCTTTCGTGCACAATTCTTTGTTCCAAATCTTGTTGCTAACCATTTTGCCCTTGCTGGGAAAAAACCTCCCTGTCTCTTAGTTACTCTGAGGTAGGATTTTACCACGTGTCTTCCCCAGGGCTGTGTGAGGCTGTTTCACGGTGGCAGAACACACAGATCCGTACAGAGACACGCTGGTCCGTACAGACTGGACCAGGAAAGTGGAGAAAGTATGTTCTTCAACAAGAATTAACTTTCAAAGCCCCATGTGTGTCTAAGGATCAAAAGGTAGATATTGTAGTTTTGTTATCATATTGATAGAATTTCTTGAAGATTATGAAACATTCCACAAAGAAGTAAAGCCAAAACAGAACCTTTCTCTCTCAGCTATCTGCTCATGGCAAGCACATTTTTTCAGTGTGGATATTTTATGTGTGTTTGATTTGTACCTTTGTGTCTCCATCTTGGGGCCTAGTTTCCCTTCCCTGTAGAGAAGTTTCTTTATTTCTTAACCTTGAGTAGGTCTGAGGAAACAACCTCACTTCACTCTCCATCTCTAGCATGATTTGCTCTGTGAAACTGAAACAATTTACAGCACCAGCCCGTGTTGGCCTGGCGTCTGGGAGTTCTCATAATGGCAGTTTGAAAGTTCAGTAGATGAATGAGACCATGCGTGACATGGTCTTTCTGGACGAGGCTAGCCGGGAATGAGGTTGAAGCTGTTGCGGTGGAGTCTCATGGTAGAAGGGCAGTTCTGGCCGGGCAGCAGCTCCCGGAGTCAGTGCCCTTTACTTGAGGCCTCAGCCTGTGACTTGTGGATGCAGCTGTCCAGCTCGTGCGCTGTAAAATGCCTATCAAAGAGGGCGCTTGGGGCGGGCCTCCGTCACATCCCAGTCCTTCTGCTGAGACAGCTGCTGCCCTCCACACGAGCCCGTTCAGCAGTACCCTTGTCCTTGGGTGGAAGTCAGAGCCCTCGGGAAAGTGGTGGTCCCAGGGCTAGAGCTCAGATGTCCTTACTCCTAAAGGGATGGATGGAGTGGAGGAGGAGTCTCTGGCCCAGGCACGCACATCGGCAGCCCCGGCCATCCTCGTACACACCTCGTGCATCCCCTCCACCACACCAGGGTGTTTGCAAAAACATGGTCTCACCCACACAGGGGCACAGAAATTCTGGGGCCAGCCAAGGGCAGGCAAATTACCCTCTATCTGCTGAGTTTTTCTATCAGACATGCCTCAGTTTGTCCAACTTGATTTAGTAATAAAATTATATCCATTCCCTATACAAATACCAGCAAGATCACATTGAGATAGAGAAACCGGCATTTTGCCTCTCAGACTCCTTTCGTAAGGAGTGCCACACCCATCTTGCATGCCAGGAAGAGGCAGACTAACCGGCTGGGTGTGAAATGTACCTACCACGAGGAGGGAGCCCTCGCTGTGCCAGCTGATCCTGCTGCCATGCCTCCGCGAAACCTGGGAGCACTGCAGTGAGTGGACAGACGCGTCCCTGCTGCAGCAGGGCTTGGCTTAATTGAACAGTGACATTAGATTCACAGTTCTGGTTCCGAGCAGCTCCCGGTGTTTGTCCAGGTGGAAGTGTTGGCGGTGTTCAGAGTGTCCAGGCGGAGGCCTTTCATCCTGGGGAGTAGGCGAAGAAGTCATGTAGAGTTGGGCCCTGCTTCCCTCCTGCCGCCCAGCTGGAGTGGCTAGTGGGGCCTGTGGCAGTAGGCTGCTGAAGCCCTTGGGTAATAACTCCATTAGAAGGGTTTTCTGGCCCTGCCTGACCTCATGGTCTGCGCTGCCATGTGTCTCATGGCCCAGCCAGCCGAGTTTGCATCCTTGCAGGAGGTCAATGTCCTCTGAGACAGTGACCATGGATGTTTGTAGAGCAGAGGTGGCCCAGCACTGAGCCCACACCGAACCTGGGCGTCTATGAGATCCAGTCCAGATCAGTCTCCTTCCTCGGCAGCGAGGACCAGCAGGCTGAGGAGCCGCCACCTGCTTCAAAAAGATTGAAGGGAACAAATCCTCTTTCCATGGTGTTCCATGAAAGCGGTGTAGGGCCCAGGCCAGCTCCTGATTAGAACACAGGGTCTACCGGGAGGGGGAATTATCAGACGTGCAGAAATTACTTAAAGATGACATTATTTTTTCACTTATATTAGAAAGGCTAAAATTTATTTCACAAATTAGCAGAGAACATTTTCCCTTGTTAGTCTAAAGATTAGGGGATTGAAAAGAACCAGGGTGGGCTTTTTGTATATTTCTCAGATTCTCAATAAATACAACGTGAGCGTGTGTGTGTGTGTGTGTGTGTATATGTGTGTAGTAATCGAGACATCAATAAGGAAAACATTTTGCATGTATAAAGCTTCATGAAGGTCTCTTTAAAAAATACCAAAGCTTGTTTATTCCTTTTAAGTAACCCAAGCCCTTACAAAAATCAACAGAATGAAAAAGATTATGACTGCATTGCCAAAACACCAAATGGCGCAGAGGGCCTGCGTTAAAGTGTAACTGCAAACGGTCAGCCAAGAGAGCATGCTGTTTCTGTATTTAGAGCCCTGGGGTCCCCCTCCTTGACTTGCGTCATGCTGTCTCCCGCCACGGCGGGAGCCTGCAGTTAGGGGTAGCCACACGCCACCTGCCTGCCTTTCTTTCCTTCTTTGCTCACTTTACCACGGGTGTATTTTAACCTTGTGTAAAATATGCATGGGCGAGTCATGCACACATATACATGATGTATTTGACAAGTGGTGGTAAAACAACCAATTTGGTTTGTGTTTTTGAAACGTCAGTGCATTTTGTGCCACTAACACTGTGATGTATACAAGAACTGTCTGAATGCCTTTTCATGTCGTGTTTTGTACTTCGGAATCATATGGAGCAGTTGGATTTGTAACTTCAATACATATTTTAAATGTATTGTGTCTTCCGTAGTCTGTCCCCCCTTTGGAAGGGATTTCTTTTTAAAGATATTTTGGCTGGAATACAGGTGACTTTTGTAAATCCTGCGTGGCTCCATCTTTTGTAGATGCTAGTTGACTACAGACCTAAAGTTTGAAACCGTGATGGGAATTGGAGGTGGAAGGGAGAAGGGCGGGAGAGGGGAGGGATCTTTTATCACTGGGGAAATAGCGTTTGTAGTCTCAGATTTTCTTAGGGCTGTTTCGACTCTCAGATGCCAACATAAGCTGGGTCATTGGCTATGTCAACCCTTCTGACCACTTCCTGGCTCCGTCTTGTAGCGCCAAGCCAGGAATACAGCACCAGAAAGCATCTGCAGGTGTTCCCTGCCTCTATCCACAAAGACCAGCCCCCCACTCACTTATCACAATTTGTAGAGGCATCATTAAAGTCTTTTTATGATTAAAAAGGCCTCCTTTTTGGCCGAGGTCAACACGGTAGAATAAATATGAATGCTCCTTTTTTTGGGGGGGGGTTGGGCGTGGGGGGAGAGGTTTTTGCTATAGGACGCGTGCACTCACCAGAAAGACAGAGAGAGAGACAGAGAGACAGAAAGTGAGAAATCACCCACCAAAGGGATGGCCACGTCTCAATCCCTTCTCCTCCATTCTCCTCTCGGGATCTTGGGCATACATGCACATGCACCCGGGGAGAGTTTAAACCACCGGGTCCAGGACTCGAACCGCAGTTGACTACATGGGAGTCTAGCGACAGCCATTATGCCAACTGCTGGTCCCGAATGCTTTTTCTTTAATAGGAGAAATAATAATAACCCAAAGATTAGAGTAGATCACCTTGATTTTCATTGGCCGTGACTGAGCATCATAGGAGACTGTACACCCCAGTCATTAACATGAAAGCAAAGGCTAGGACTAGGTGATTAGTTATCTGTCCTGTGTTCAAATTTTAAAAACTACCCTTAGTATCATAAGATCCCAGTTTGGGGAGGTGCATTAACAACTTGTGACCTGAGTTCATTGTGGGTGCTCAGGACACCTGCTTTCCAGGAGCTCTTGTTGTGAAGTGGGAGACGGATGGGCTAGTCCGTCATAATAATAATGTAATAGTGACAGGTGCTGCGGTGGGCACGTGTGTGCCAGGCTTTGCAGACAGAAGCCACCGGCGTTCAGCCAGGCATGGAGGTCAGGGAAAGCCACACCCAAGCTGAATCTTGAAGACCAGTAGGCATTAGGAAAAAAAAAAAAAAAAAAAAAAAAAACCTGGAAGGGTGTTCCAGGGAATGGCCCAGTCCAAATGCAGGTGGGGCTGACTGGCATGTGGGGGATGCAGAGACGCTCCAGTGTCTGACCCCAGCACCCAGAGCAAAGCTCGGGAAGTTGGCCACTGTAAGGGCTTCGGGCAGGTGGTGGTTTCCTCGGGTCACTGTGAGACCTACATGCTGGCTGGCCAACAGCAGGTGTTTATCATCTCACAGCTCAGGAGGCAGAAAGCCCGAGATCAGGGTGTCAGCAGGGTTGGTCCTCCTGAGATGTGCAGGAACGCGTGCATCTCCATCCCTGTTGGCAGTTGCTGGCAGTCTGCATTCCTGGCCCGTTCCTGCTTCGCCTGGTCTCTGCCTTCATCTTCACATGGTACGCGAGTGGACATGGTCAAGTGGGCATGGCCAAATGAGGTGGTCAGAACGGCAGCAGGAACAAAGGGTGGAGGTCCAAGGAAGTCCTTCCCAGGCTGACTTGGACTTCAGCTCTGTGAGTGACCTAGTTGTGGGAAGCCCCTCAAAAAACACTGCCAAGAGATCATTGCTTTTCAGCAAAACAGATCTCCGTGCATAAATGCATAGGCACATGCATTTGCTTCCAAAATAAATTAGAAAATTCTCTCTGCATCAACTTACCAGTATTGAAGAACCCAAATTGCAGGGCTTTGGTGGTAGGACTGGTGCTGACCTTGCTATGTGCCATGTGAAAGTCACCCTGAAAATGGACCTCCTCACTACAGCTGTGCTCCAGGGAGAGCGGACATGCTGCTGGGGGTAGGCAGTGCAACGTACCACTCACCCGCCTTAACTCCCTCTTTCTGAACCAGAGAGTGATTCAGCCTTTGAAAGATAGCAGTCACTGCTTGTTGCTCATTGTTCATAACTCGTTGTTCCCTGTCTATTAATCACTCCGGGTTGCCATTGAGCATGAAGCCAGCATTGAATAGGAGGCCAAGCAGCAGGACAGCGTGTGACCGCAGTGCTGCTGCCAGGGCTGGATCTGAGTCGCAGGTGTGTCCTTGTGCACGTGACTCAGCCTGAGCAGTGATCTTTTCACTCGAAAGCGAGGATGAAAAATACTTCACAGGATCTTTTTAAGGGTAAGTGAGGTAATGACAGTGAAATACAGAGTGTGCAGCAGCCCATAGTCTGAACGTGTTCAGCCATGAGTGCTTCTGTCACGAACACTCACAGCACTCCACCTCCAAACACCCAGGGCTTTCCTGCCTGCTGTCATGATGATAGAACCCGTGGACTGGACAGGCTCTGAGCACTTTCCCTCTTGCATCACAGCTCCTGCTGCCCGAGGGTGTCAGAGAGTGACCATGTTGGACCTCTGGTTAATGCAAAGCAAAATGGTGTCAACTCTCCATACGGGAAAATATTATTTTTTTAGAGAGAGATTTTTGCTCTAGGGCACATGTGTTCACTGGAGAGACAGAAAGCAGGAAATCACCCCCGACCCCAGAGGCATGGCCACACCACAACCTCTTCTCCATTTTCTTCTCAGGATTTTAGACACACACGCACATGTGCAAGTGTGCATTTTAATTCCATGGGTCCAAGACTAGAACCATGGTCAACTACGTGGGAATCCAGCAATGTAACCACTCCGCCATCTGCTGGTTCCATGTGGGAAGATCTTAATTTGCAACATCAAAAGTATGTACTTGTTCATTATGGTAATTATCTGGGTCTCCTTTAAGAACATATTAATAGTTTTACTTATGCTACTGATTTTTTCAATCATTGACTTAGAAAACCCTCTCAGAACAGGTCATGTGTTTTTCAAGTCACAAGAAAGTTCTAAATAGGAGTAGGCTTTCCTTACTTCTTAGAATTTATGGATTTATGAAAAGCTTCAAATGCAAAATAATAATAATAATAAATTTTAAACCCTTCAGACAGTTGGGCTTGACTGTTAGTTTTATTCAGAGATTAAAGAAATTAGTATAAATACTAGATTTTGTTTGCACCACCAACTCTTACTGAAGGAATTAAACCCCCGTTGCCAGCAGTGTGTATGTGTGGTGTGTGTGTGTGTGTGTGTGTGTGTGTGTGTGTGT